TGGTGTGACCGACATCGGCAGCGAATGCTTCCTAGTCTTAGAGCCAGGACTGCTGCACACGACAGGCAGTCGTGCCGTCTAGCTAATTGAATCTAGGTGTCGCGACCATCAAATGGTGTCAGCAAAGTACTTGAAGTCTTCGGGCAGCTTACAAAATGCGCGCAGCCTTAGTAGAGCCACCAGAGAGCATAGTGACACTTCACTCATTCATAGAGAAAACTGCACAGTCACTGCATGGACCGTCGTCATACGCCAAGCTACTTGTGGTCAAATTCGTGTGTCATGCACCTTGCACTATGCCTCGAAAGGTGCATGCCGACAAGACGGCATATCCAAAGCTTCGTTTACTTGACATCTGTCATTCAGATTTGCGATCCGGCCCGACGAACTTTGCTCACGAGCCAGTCCGAATCAAAGTCGCTGCCACCATTTAGCCCTACGGTCCCAGCCCTAAAGACTCAACACGTTTCGAATCCTCACGGCACCTTGGCTCCAAAGAGGGATAAGACCGTCGACCTGCGCACTCCCACCTGGCTAACTCATGCACTAATAAAAGCGCAGGGGAGTAAGTGCGATAACCAATGTACCTGGTGCGCAGCAAACCCTCACCCGGCTGCACCTAAGCTGCCACATGTTCTTAAACATCAGCGAGACTCCTTGCCAACGCTTCCTGCAGTTCCTTGTCATTGTCGTGTTCTTGCGGCCTGCCCAGGGGCCGTTGGCTCAAATCTCTAAGCGGTTTCCTGGTCTGCTTTCCTCCTTTCAAGGCCTTGCTTTTCAACATTTTACGCGTATTCTTTTTGAAACCTCCCTGAGCCGTGACCTTGGCCTTTTGTAAGTGGGCTTCTGCAGAGGCTCCTCTATCTTCTTCGACACGCCTATTTTCATCGACTAATGGGTCCGCTTTAGCATCGTACGGGATGCCCTTTTGAACTTTGCTTCCACCGGGCGTCTTGCGAGCGGCTGATGAGCGGGGCCCTGTATTGCGCATCCCCGCACTTTTCACCGGCTCGTTCGTGCCCGGTTCCAAACCGTCGATTCTCTTAACGAGGCCCTGCTCATCCAAGTCGCAATCTTCCAGCCCAAGGCCCCAGTCCCCGAACCCGTCCGCAGGCGTCTCAGCAATCACTCCCTCAAGCTTCGCGTCCCCTTCCCCAACTTTTCCTTTGCCCCCAACTTGCTCCGGTCTCGATTCCCCTGCCGCGCTCGCTCGTTCGGCCGTCACCTCCAAACCCCGCGCTGCACCCACTTTAGGGCATTCTTTCACCACCTGATTCTCCTCTTTTGCTCCGTTTTCTTCGCGTCCTCCTGCACCCGCCCTTCCGCCTTGCGCACGCCCAAGCGCAGTAAGTGCTCCCTGCACCCCTTCCCTTTCATCCCATTCCTCGTCTGAACCTTCGACAACCTCCCTCGTTCGCTTCTTGCCACTTCCGCCTCCTTCGTTTCCCTTCCTTGCATTACCAGTATTCTCCCCGGTCTTAAACTCCGACCGAACTTGCGGCCTTTTCTCACCCCTAGTTCCCGCCTCATTGCAGCTTCCAAACCCACTGTCTGCCGACTTCCCCGTAACCGGACTGGTTACCCCTCCCCGCTTCCGCCTCGTATATGCGACCGGCGGCGGCTCACTTACCGGTGCGTCTAAGAAACTTGGCTCGCTAACCGGGGCGTCTTCCTTCCGCCCGGTAGATCCCAACCGGGCACTTTCTCGGGCCGCCTCGACCCCTCTCAATCGCCCGGTACCCCCCAACCGAGTCGCAGTCCCGACTCTCTTCGAGTCCGAGTCGACTTTCAGTCGTTTCTTCGGAGTCTTTGACTCCTTGTCTCCCTTCGACCACGTTCCGCGTTTGGAGGCGCTCCTTCCCGCCACCGCCTGGCCACCTGACGTTACCCTTCCAGGCGTTCCGTTCCCTTGACTGCCACCCGCCAGCGGATCAAACGCGAAAGGATCCATTGCTGCGTCCAATGCCGTGAATCCTCCCCCGGCTTCGAATCCTCCCGATCCCTTCTCTGCACTGCCTCCCTTTTTACTCCCCAAACCAACCTCCGCGTATCCCTCTCTCTCCTCTTCTCCTCTCAAATTCTCGTTCTCGTCCTCGCTTTCCCCTCCAGCCCCCGCACTTTCAGCCGCAGGGGGGGAGCTTGGCCGCAGCCCTTCTCTCGCCCGCTTCGTTCGACCGCTCACCCCTCCTCCCCCCCGACAATTTTCGCTTCTGAACCACCCCGCTGACAGGGGACCCCCACTGATTCACGCAGATGCTGCTCGCTTCTTTTTCCCATCTCCCACGCTTGGAACACGTTCTCAGACACTGGCCTCGTTGCCGCTTCCGTGCCCACGGCTTCCTGCTCGGTTTCGTCGACAGCATCGTGAGCCGTCCTCGGCTGAGCAAGACTCGTTCCGTCAGACCCATCCCCTCTTTCCGCCATCAAAGATTCTTCAACGGCTCCGCCGGACTTCTGCTCGGGTTGACGGGACTCCAGTCGCTGGGATGCTTGCGAGGCCAGCTCAAGGTTCTTTGTGGAGTGCGCCGCTTCTTCCTTCTCCTGCTCTGTGGTCACTTGTGACAGATGTACTGCTGGATCTGCGGGGAAGTAGGAGCATCCACGCTTTGTTCAGATGGCAGTAAAGAAGGTTACGTGACTTCACATTGAAAAGACAGCCATTTTTTGGGCTTTGAATCTTCAATATAGTGGAAGTAGTATTTTGGAGTTCCAAGCTGATCAAACGCCTCCAAGGATCTTTGCACAAAGAGCGTCATGGCGAGAGAAGGCAAAGCTAGGATAAGCGTACTGTTGCCTGATACTATGAAATGAGTACGAATACCTGCATTGAAAGTCTTACATCTGGATCTTGCAAAACTGATTTCGATCCCGAACGTGCCTGACTAATCAGTGAAAGATTCTGGCGGATATCGGGCAGGTATTCGTTCAAAATACCTGCCCGAAAGAAGCAAAAACCTCACCAGACAACCAGTGGGACTCAAAGCTGAGGACACATTATTTCTTAAAAGACCTGAATGTGAGGAGTCCCTGCTCGACGTCGGAAGCTCGCTTGCCTACCCTCCTGTGCGCAAGCCCGAAAGACGCTCACTATGTAACCAGCAGCCAAATGTCAGGACTCGACAAGCTTCACCCTGCCTGCACCGGTACCACTCTCACTTTTCCCAAGCAAGACATTACGGCTTGGTGAAACTCACGAGTGGGCTCACCTATTCCCATGACCAGCAGCTTGATGTCGATGTCCCTCAGCTCCGCTTCTTGAGCCGCAATCTCCGACTCGAGCACCGCCTCAGCCTGCATCAAGAGACACGCACGAACACAGCTAATGAGATGAATTTGATGCAGGGTACAGTATCCAATTATTTAACACGGGAGGAGCTTCACCTGAGACGAGTCTTGGCTGTTTGACTGTGCAGTGCTGATTACACCTCTTGCAAAAGGGACAAGCTACGAAACCAGTGCCCAAGATACGTAGGAAAGTGCCCATGAAAAAGTTAAGCTTTGTGAAAGCAGTGCGGGGATATGCTTCTGAGGGGCTGTCTTTGAGGTGCTTCATTTAGTCAGGACAGGAGCTCCAACCAACTGAACCAGCTAGAAGGCTCCCTTTGAACGTTAGTGGAACTTGAGTTGAGCCTGGTCATAATGCATCATCTTTCAAATATTCTCCAGACATATCTCAGGGTTTGTGACAATGTGCACACGGATGTCCTCCTGCTTTTCATGTATAGTCAAATCTGAAAGAGCTCTATTTACCGTTGCACCACGAGCTGATCATGGCGACTGAAAGAGCCAGCCCGTGTTTGCAGGCGGTTGACTCACCTGTGTACTTAGAGGATCTTCAGGCTCGTCCACACCTGTCATTGCATCTCCATCTCCTGGAACGTCAAGTGTCGGCCCGATCCGCGCTAAGTCTCCCCCGCTTTTCTCCAACTCTAGTTGCTGCTCACTTCTCCGCTCGAGAGTCCCAAGTCCACGTCCCAGTGCTTCCAGGTTCCCCACCGGCCCGGTGCTCCGCATTTTCCGCCACTTTAAACCGGCTGCCCTCACTTTCCTCTTGTCCCCCCTCCCGCTGTCTGCCCCAATCTGTTCTCGACTATCCCCGCTCTTTTCATGCGTCTCGCTCGAGGGGGTGCTTGTGGAGGTTCGGCTTGAAGGGCCCCTCGATCCGTCTGTCTCTTCCAATCTGCTGATGGCAGCCGCGTCTTCCGTGGCAGAGACTCCTCTTTTCTTCGAGCCTTTCTCTTGAGGATTCTGGCCCTGCCTAGAAGGAGCCACCAGCTTAAAGCTACGGCCTGTGAGGGAGAAGGCCCTGATTCGTCAGAACCCTTGATAGAAGGTGAGAGATTTTGTTTTGCTGCAAAACATAGTTGGCCATACTTGTCAGTTTGCCTCAGGAACCCGCTTGCGCTTTATTCAGCATCGCCTGTTCCCTGCCTCTGAAGTAGACAAGGCAGGTCGTGAGTAAAACACTGTTCTTGAGTCTCCCCTGACGACCTCACGGGGGTCAGGGAGCTGAGATCTTCGAAGTTACATACTGCAACCGTTAGGCGTACCTTTGCTGGTCTGTGTTGCGGTCGGTGGTAGTTTCTTGGCATCTTGCAGCCGGCTGACAACATTCTCCAGCATCTGGTTGCGGACGATGCCGCTCCTCCAGCAGGGCTGCTGGCACACAGGGCACTTGGTGCCATGGGCCTCGAGTGACAGAATGATGCACGCTCTGCAGTTGGTAAAACGGACTCTTCGTAAGTTGCGTACTACCAGCGGATAGTCCAGGGTTACAGGATTCCATGCAGCGAGACTGTTGGAATCATTGAATGCCTAAAGCAGGGTACAGAAGAAGATGAGAGCAAGACTATGAACTGCTGTGGTCCATCTCCAAGTTATTTGAAGTCTAAAAGCTGACATGGCCCTCTCTCTAAAACACAGAGAGGCACTTTGATCAAGTGTGCTTGCACGAGGGAAGGTGCTCTGTTCGCCACTCACTCGCAGAAGTCATGGCCGCAGGGGATGGATGCGATCGGTCGTTTGAGATCTTCTTTGCTGCAAAGGCAGAGCTGCGTAAGTTTTGGGCATTTCAAAGGGCAGACCTGTGCCGTCTGTGCAAGCAGTAAATTCAACTGAATTGTCTCAGCAAACGAGTCTATCAAGTATGTGGTAACATCCAAGGGCCTCGTACGATTCTTCCAATGCATCTGTCTGAGCTGGTGTCTCAAAGCAGTGCAAACGAAAACCCTACAGCCCTCACCATATTGGGCACTTCAGGACCGCATGCACTTGAGCGATTGACGCCAGCACGGCTTCCATGTTGGAACCGTCCATTCTTATGGGGGGGAGCTGGCGGACTTGTGCGGTTTTCCTTGACGGCGATGCGCCATTTGACTGTGCATGCTCATTACGCTTCAGTGACTCAGACTACTCTCGCACGAAGGGACCAAGCCTGCGGTGAAGCTGATCTGCATTGCTACCGTCTGTTGCAGCACTTGAGCGGCTAGCATTGCGCAAGACCAACCATAAAAAACAGTGAGCGTTGGCTCGAGGCTGAGGCGCCTATCTTCTGCGACCTGTGACTTTGACAAAAGATTCCTAGATCCTGAAGATTGCAGCAGACTGCGCCAGCCCACCATGCCTTTGATAGTGCACGGGCTTGTACAGAGTAGAGAAGTGTAGAGAAGTGTGTAGAGAAGTCAACATGCCAGTCAGGGCCCAGGGGGCTTTACTGTTATTACCTATTGATGAACTTGAAGTCTGTCGCTCTCGAGCACTGGGAGCAGCAACTCGATGTCTCCCGTTGCGAGAGCCATGAATCTGAACTTGAAAGATTTGGCGCGAACCAAACCACTTCTGATTGGATGCCTTGTCCAGCTTACGTTCTTCTTCAATATCTTGTCCGTCGAGCCTCGGTTCAATCCCTTGGGGCCTTCCATCCCTTTCAGCGCTTGGAAGCCATGAACCCGGGGCATAAACCCGGGGCATAAACCCGGGGCATAAACCCGGAAGAGGAGGCTGATAGTATTTCGATCGATTCGCTAGTTCTGGTGAGATTCGTTTCACTGTCTTTCAGCTCCGAACAGCTGCATGAACAGCTGCATATGGGCGCTTCATGGGCGCGGCTTTCTGATCCGGAGAGGGGCGGAGCAAGCACCGGCTGCGCGGGTTAGGACTGACTCTGATTCGAGAGGGCGCGTTCAGTCCGTCCAGATGCTGCTCAGTTCCACGGTTTGAGCGACGCCTGAGCATGGCGTCTGACGACGTGCCAGACGATGACCTGTTTGGGCCGAGCAATTTGGAGTATCAGCAAACCACAGCGTTCAGCACAATCAAGCCCCCGAGTGAGTGAGAAGTTTGCAGGGCCTCAAGCGCTGAGTGTGTGCAGAGGCCTGGGTCATTACCACTTGTTGAATCCAATTTTCTGCTGATATGCTCAAATATTTGCAATGTTGTGCAAATGCAGGTTTGCGTTGGCATGCATTTGCTATTCTGATGCTCGTGTCCCTCAAATTGGGCACCTTGAGGAACTCCTGAATCTCTGTTTGAAGTGCAATTTCAGTTTTTGTCTGCAAGTATCTTACATACGTCTTATTTTGCTTCCAGCCTTCGACTCCCTCCCTGTGCCGTCCCCAAGCCTCGGCAAGCGCCCCTACGAGCAGCGCCACGGCCCGCCCCCCCGCCAAAATTACAAAGCCCACAATGGCCCCCGCAATCTTGTTCCCCCCTCCAACTCCTACCTCGGAAGCACCTTCCCCAGCTACCTGGGAAACCTGACCCCCGGTCCAGGCGCCCCCCCCCACCAATTCCCAGGACCCCATCATATGGCCCCCGGCTTCCCTCCCCATGCCCCCGTCTACAGCGGATTCCTGCAAGGCCCTGGGGAGCCATTCTCCGGCCCCGGCAGACCAGACGCTCCTGGTATGCCGCCGTACGACCAACATCCCCACAAGGCCCCCGGAGCATTCCCACCGATGCCGCCCGGGCCGCCCGCGTTCGCCCCTCCCTTCGTTCCCCCTCCGCTGCCTCCGGGGGCCCCACCGGCGGGCGCCCAACCTTTTCTCCAGCAGGGCCTTCCGATGCCACCCCACTTGCAGCCTCCGGAGAATGGCGCTGGGGAGGGCCCTGCGCAGCAATTGCCGGATCGGCCGCTGCCGGGGTTGGGGGAGGTGGCGGCGGAGATGACGCTAGGGCCGCCCGGCCATGCAGACCCGGAGCTAACTGGGGCATGTCCAAATTACGAAGCGCCGCAGGAGGTGGCGTGTTTGAGCCGGACGTGGAACGGGAGGTGAGCGCCGAAAGCAGCATATAAAATCCAAATCAGGTTTGCAAATTTTAGCAACTAGACAGTTGATCAGTGCAAAAATGGCGTCTTGAGGGCTACATTAAGGTTCGCACAAGCTGGTGCCAGCGGTCGCGCGACAATGATCGTATGCGGCTGAATGCACCTGGAACCCTAATTTTCAAGTGGCAGATTAGGGTTAGGATTTGTATCCAATCAGTGAAATTGGGATCCTGCTTGGATTGACTGTCAGTAGGCTGAGTATTTGCTGTATACAATCTGTGTGGCAGTTAGGGTGTGGTATGTTGGCAGAGCCTAACCTTAAATCTGCTCATGTCCGGATGAATCTGTGAAGCACCATTTTGCGCTCAGCAGATCTTACCTTGTCATTTAATCTGATTTCGAAATAGCTTCTGAATCATACTTCCAATTTACTCTTACCGCTCAAGTCCCTTTTCATCCTCTGATGGTTTGGCACGCTCTCCTACGATTCGATTGGTGGTGCTGATAATTCTCTTACATTTACTCTGTCAATCTTGATGCATAGTGGCACCTGAAAGGCAAAGTTCAGTGCAGTGATTTAGACGGTGCAATTAGTGCGTGTCTGGGTTTTAATCCATAGCAAAGCGAGCTGCTCAAACCTCATCAAACCTCAAGCATTCACTGAGGGGATCCCTTCACAGCAATTCTGCAACTATGAATCTCATAACTTACCTCCCTCAGGGTCTACTTCGACGAGCGCTGTCTGCGCCGACTGAAAGCGCCCCCCATCGGTGCCGACCTAAATGAGGGCTACGACACGTTTGTTGAAAAGGTCCAGAATGAGAACGGGTTCGGAGACTTGCTAGCTGCGGTGCGGTATCGGAAGGTGCATTTGGGGGACGTGCAATTTGTGACATACCGGAATAATCTGAATAAGATCCTGGGGACCGCTTATGATAGGAATAAGTCCTGGGAGATGGGCGTGCATCGGAGGGGGGGAACTGTGTACCTGGACGTGCATCAGGGGGAGGAGAGGGAGCAGACGGAGCGCGAGAAAAGGATGTGAGTGGCCATCTCTGATAACTTTGGGCTTGAGAAAGGTGCCACTGTTTGCTTCAGATTGAGGATAATGTAGTGTACATTGGGTTCTTGGGATGCCTTCTGTTTCTCTAGAGAAGAGCAAGCGTTACATGGGGGCGCATCGGTGCGTAGTGGTTGCGTGGCGAGTTTGGATGGCGACTCGGGTATTATGAGGCCCAAGCAATTGTGAATGTCATCAAAGGCGCACGGGAGGTTGCCCCAAGCGTTTGCACTCCCAAGGAGGTCATTCTTCTTTGGTGCCCACAAAAGTTGCAGAAGGAGGGGGGGAGTGGATCTTAAGTTCTGCTCTTGAAGAAGCGAGACTGTTCTGGAGGCTGTGCAAGGCAAACAAAGTCATATTCTGCCAAGTCCAGTTCTTTTTAAATCTTTGTTGAGGAGACACTTCGACTCTGGTTATCAGTTATGTTCTGTATGATAGGCGGACTCTTTAGAAGTTGTGAAGTGGCGCTTGTGATTAATCAGTAGCAGGGGAGACACTGGTTGATCAGAATGTTTGATGCGGTGCTGAATGGAAAAGTCGCCAAGGAACTGCATGTTATCGTGCTAGCTCAAGAGAAGCAGTAAGGGTTGCCAGAGTGAAGGGTACGGGGGAGATTCAGATAAAGTAGTGGTTCGTAGATGTGGTGATCGGTTGTTACGATCAGGGACAATCTTACAGGGTACGTTCAACCGAAAGATGGTTCTGGATTGACATTCCCATTTTTTGGAGGAAGGGAACAGGTCGTGTGTCATGCGAGTGAAGCGATGCCGTTGCAATATCCTGGAATTCTTGCTAACTTCATTATAGGGGGTAGAAACCGCATTGGTTGTAGAAGACTTCTGTCTGCGCCTCAATAGGGGGGGTCTGGAGCAGTTTTCATCAGCCCGCTGGGCCTCGCTTAACGAGTTTCAAAGTGGTTATGGCCATGGTCATACTTCCTGTCCGTGGCGTCAGCGTTGTTGTGCTTTGTAACAATACATCACCCCTCTGAGACGCCACCAGTGCGAAAACGCAAGATTGGACTCGCAGTACATTGATTGGATGTGGCAATAGTTTCTCTGTTGGGGTGTTTGACCTCGCAGGCTTTGCCTTCCCGTGAAATGACTTCCACATCTTCTGCCTCACGGCAGCGGCAGAGAAAGAAAGTCAGGCAATCAAAGATTATTCCAGAACAAACGACTGCGATCATTCTATCTCCTTATTCTTCTCATCATCCCCAATCTGCGCAGGACGTACTGGGGCTACTCGTTCGAGGCCCTCATGACCGAGTCCAAGATGCCTGAGGCCACCACCCCCAAGGGCTCCCACAACAGCGACTCCTTCGCAGAGACCCCCCCTGCGAAGTCGCCCGTCGACGCAAACGTCGAGTTCTGCGCCATTCTCCGAACCAAGCTGGGGGCGCATCGAATCGTCATGGGGGCGGAGATCGATTGCTATGATCGGGGGCCGGACGGGAAGAAGCGGTACGTGGAGCTGAAGACGAGCAAGGTGCTGGTGAATGAGAACACGGTGCGCACGTTCGAGCGGCACAAGCTGCTCTCGTTCTGGGTGAGAGCGCAGGTCGCTTTCCACTTTTTCTTTCTTTTGGCCGATCCTGCGATCACCTGTCTATTGTTCTCGTAACAGGCGACAGGAATATCCGCCTTTCCGTTCTCGAAAGGCGGATATTCCTGTCGCCTATTTGGGACTATTGCATGTTGACTTTGTGTTGGTTGGACCTTCTTGCAAGGCTCTTTAGTATGTCGTTCCGTCTACGACGTGAAAGCAATCTTTCCGGTCGTTGTTGTTGACGCTCCTGTCAAACCTCCCTCTAATCTTTGGATGGTCTCAATTACGAACTGGCAAGTTTTGGAAAACGGTGTTGCTTGCCCTGTCGCTTCATAGCGTTGTTGCCAATGCATCTGAAGACGCCTACTTTGCAGAACCTGCATCCGAGTTGGGAACGCCAGCCTTGTCGCGTACAAAGTTCATGACGCGTCTCACATGTTGTGTTGTGACCTTGTCTGCGAACCGCCCTCCTTCACAACAAAACGGAAGGCTTCAGATGGGTATCAGCCAGGCCGAATAGCTGGGGTCTTGAGGTCCTCAACAAAGTGCGCCTTCAAAGACTGATGCCACCGGCATGGGTGAGGAGTGCTGGGAAGAAGGTGGAAGATCATCCAGAAAACACAATTTGGTGAGGCCGTCGGTGTTTGCACATTTATTTTCGGCGTCCCTCTGCGCAGACAGTTTTTACCTTCCTTAACCGACCTTTTCCGTGCATCAGATCCAGTCCTTCCTCGCCAGCGTCCCCAAGATCCTGGTCGGTTTCCGGGACGATACCGGGCGACTCCTGAAGACGGAGTCTTTGTCGCTAGGGGACATTCGCAACCGGGTTCGGAGTAAAGAATACTGGACGGGGACTACGTGCCTCATCTTCGCCGATAGAGTCCTAACCTGGCTCTATGGAAACGTGATCGACGGCTGTGATTATGTGCTTAGCTTTAACCACCGAGACGGCCAGCTAGTCCTCAAGCGGACGGACGGCTGCCCTCTTGTTATCACCGAACATGTGAAGGCGCTAAGGCAACGAACTTGACAAACGGCTCGTGGTGCAGCTACAACAATGTCAGAGATGTGTGTTCGGCGTTTTGTTGTATTCATTCGTGTCACTAAGTTGCTCTCTTGCGTTGAAGTGTTGCACAAATTTGTCCGGATCTGATCTGGATAGCTGAGAGCATGTTGACTGGTTTTCACTGCATGCGCTGAGCATTCACTTGGTCGGAATGACGCAATGGTGAGCACGGAGGATAATCCCGGGTTATTGAACTTAGAAGCTATATTGTTCTGGACAACATGCACTGCATGCTAGCTATTGATGCAAGCAACTTTTCTGCCAATGCCGCCACACTATGTACGTGTATGGTGCATATTATTGAGAACGTACAGTGGCTACGTCTTGCATGTGCACCAATGCACATATGCCAATGTGCTCCGCAGCATTGCGTGCAACTCGCCAACCAATCGCCGTCAGTGATTTGCAGCTGTCGGACATATGCTATGAATCATGTATGTATATATAGACTTCCGTGCGTGTATACTTCAATAATATATATGTCGATTAATAATATGTAACCATTACATGCTATAGGCGATCTGTCGATCATGCATATCTTGGTTCTATAAAACTTTACGCGCTGCTTCAAGCGTGCCTGCATGGCGCATGCCGGGCGAGCCAGCTAGAGAGCTAGTTCGAGCTTTTGTTGCATGAGAGGATCGAACTAGTAGCGGCCTCAAGTATTTCTCAATAGCAGTCGCCCAGATGTGGAAATCAGGATCTAATCGGATCCTTGATTGCTTTGCACTATACTGGTTGCGTGATCCATTTAGAAAGCTAGGGCAGATCGATCAGTTATTGACAGTTGCAATCAAGGATCCGATCGGTTGAAAAGAGAACATCAAAGCAGCTGGGTGCTTCAATCATGCATGATGCGCGCGCGTGATCGAGAAGAACGCCGAGCAGTCATCGGCGTATACGTTTCGTCAAAGCACGATCGACTCAAGCAGCTTTCCACGTACACAAACGCTTTAATTATTGACTCGTACCGTCCTTGCCGGCCCGACGAGCCTCAGTCAATCAAAACTTCTCAAATCACTCCGGGTCCGACTTCTGAAATCGAGCGTTACCATTTGATGTATCTGACTTCAAACCACTAACATTCAGGTGATTGTCTCCTCTATGACGTAATTGAAATCACTCGACACAAATGATCGAGCGATTCCATTCTGACTAAAACAAAAGCAGTCTGGCATCCTACACGAACAGTGGCAAATTTAAATGTTTAATTCAATGGTTTCTACAGCCCCTATGATATACAGGCAACGGGCGCTCCCAAAACTGTACAAACGGAAACACGCAACTTGCATCATTGTGCCAACTTCGATGTTCCATGTTCCAACGGCGTCGCCATCTCCGAAGTATATCGAAGTAAAGCGGCAGCGCAGAGACATGGCACGGCTCGCGCGGGCACCCAACCTGACGACTGCTTACGCCTGATCCCGAGCTGCTTCGACGCCGAACAGTCGAAGCATGTCCTCGAAATCCTGCTCATCGGGATCCTCAAGATCTGGCAGATCAGCGATGAGCGATGGATCGAGGTGCAGGAGATCAAGCGACGCAATCGTGTCGCCGTTCGACATGTTGGGATTGGCGTTCGCAGCTGGGGGCTGAGTGCTTGCAGCCGGCGGCATAACATCTGCAGCTGGCTCCTGCAGGACGAAACCAAGACTCCTTTGGTAAAGTTCTGAGGTGTTGTCAGCGGAATTTCCAGCTGCCGCTCAACAGAAAATGTTAACGGGTCAACGGCCGGGGTGCGTTGAAGCTGAAACCAACTACATAAGTATACGTCATACTTTTCAAAGCACAGCGCCTTTCTTGTCTCCGGAATCGAAGGCGATGTATGTCGGCGAGCTTTCCAGTTAGCGCTCCAACACAGGGTTGCTGCCGCTCAGTAAGCACTGGCGGACTAGCGGAGCAACTCCCAACCCGGGATGGTCATCGACGCATTTGCGCTGCATCGTCCAACTCGGCTCCGCTTCGTGTGAGACGGGCCTGAAACCAGGGGCGAACCGGAGCTTAACCTGCTCCAGTTCACAGCCAACCCGCCCTATGCAAGCCTTGCTTGTGGGGATTCCGAGAGCCACAGCCAGTGAGTGGACTCTGCTTAAAACCTGGTTACTGAACCAAATTTTTCTGCTATTGAGATGCTGGTTTGGATTCGCAGGATTCGGATTGCAACCCCAAGGGAAAAACATTTCATAAGGACAAAGTGGTGCAACGTGGTTTCACCCCGTTCGGCCCATCTTACCGGGGATGCGGCGGCCAGCATGTGAGCGAAGCACGCCTCGAGCCGCGCGCGCGTGGCCGTGTTGCAAGCAGCGGTGCCCGGATTGACGAAGAACGCGTCCAGGTACGCCTTCACCGCGGTGCAAAGCGCACGGTTGGCAGCCAGGAGCGTCAGGAAGAAGTCTAGCGCTTCCCACAGACCTTTCTGCTTCAAGCTCTGTGCGCGCGATGCGCCAGGGACGAGGTCGCTCCATTTGATCTACTTCAAGAAGGGAAAGGCAGTCAGGTCATGGCAGGGGCAAGGAGATTGAGGGCTGCGGTTCCACCAGAAGCGAGGAGACAAAAATGCATCTAGTAATAAAAGTATGCTGCCAGACCTACTGTGATTGTGGTCTATTTGACTCCTATTGTGACGACAAAGCACCTTGCTAAGAATCGACTTTTGAAGGCGCGGACTCAAAGGATCGTTAGATCATAAAAGGAAACTTTCAACTATCCCGTCCAAGCCAGGTCTTTTAATCTGCTCCTTCACCTATGTGCATATCAGAATGACAGGCTCAACTTGAATGGACACACATGTGCTCATCTAGACTTATATGGGAGTCTGGAGGCAGACAACAGACCTTAGTTCTGGAAGAAGAGGGTGCTAGCTTCCAATCAGTTCCCAGATGTTAGAGGAAAGTTGAGGTAAACTGTTCATAAATCGCGATTCAAGACAACGTCTACCGTCTTACTGTCGACAATCCTGAAGTCTGCCAGAGTCAGACAAAAAGGCAATCCTTGCAATCCGATGTGCTATTGTAACTTCAGCAAGTGCCACAGGCACTGCAAGTGGGCCAAGATGTGAACAGGTAAATTTCATCCAAGATGGAAATGTTTTTATTCAAGGCAAGTTTAATTTTCCATGCTGAGTCCAACGAGTCCAACAGTCCCACCTTTCTGAGTTTCTTGTTGGATGAGGCGTTGTGACAGAGGTATTGGTTGACTCCTTCATATAAACCAACATTTACACACTGCAAAGATCTGTTGTCACTAATGCCTTTGGGGAAGATGCTTTCTGCGCTCTTGAGTCTGCCAATGGCAGGGTCGACAACAGCGATGGGCCTGCATCGGCATCAGATAGTGTTCGATCTCCCTCCTCGTAGCCAAGAAGCAAAGGTTTGTACTTGTTGGACCATGTAACCTAACCAAGCACGAAAACTGTAGTACACATGCACGGGCCTCTAATAAGCCACTGAGTATACAGAGGGCTTTGGTTCATCAACGTGTAAAGACTGAAGTGCAGAGCAGCCTCCAAACCGTGCACAGTGAGGTTCAGGTAGTACATGCAGTTACGCTAGAACGGGCACGGTCCTTACTGCAGCAGGAAGGGTTCACTTCTAGGGCAACTTTTTCCAATCATCACTTGAAAGCCCCTGTACTTGTGCTTGCTTCCTCATACTAGGCACCCTGATTTGCGGGTACAAAGAGGCAACTTAAGGACAACATTCACAATCGAGGGCAGCCATCAGTACCACGCCTGCCAATATATACTGGCGCAAAGACTAGTATTCCTCAAGAATCCCATTAAGAGCTTCTATGACGCAGCTTGACAACATTACGCTAGATCATGGCAGCACAGCTTGAGTTTTGCTTCATTTCGCTCACCCTTTCTGCAGTGCCTTCAAAATATCGTCCCGAGCTGCTGGCATATGATACTTTATCAGCTCTTCAATGCTCTCATCAGCGTCTGCATCGCGCCAGGCTGGGTTTTGCGCCTTGAGTATATCACACAGTGTTTTCAAAAATGAATCGTTGGGGGCTTGATGAACAGTTGCCATCGTTCAACATTCCTTTGGTCCTGTTTTCCCAGAGAGCTCAATGAAACCAACGTTTGTGGCGAGCTAGCAACGGTATTGTGGCTGCTTGTCTCGCGCTGGCACCGCGGAGCTTTGGGCTGACAGGCTGAGCGAAACACACTTGTAGAATGTTTCTTAAGTACTTGTGGAGATGAGATGCAATGCTGCTTTTATCTGACCCTGATCCAGACGCGTACGGCTCTGCTAAAGTCTGTAGCGTGCGTGCCCAACCTGTGCCCAATCTGCCTCCATCAAGATCTGCAATGAGTTACAACCTGCAAGGAGCAAGCTTGCATGAAAAAGTCAGCAGTCGTCAGCTCCGAGCTAGAGCCTAGCTGTACCTTCTATTGTAGTAGGCAGTTCAGGCGTACACCCAGTCCTACTTGTGGAGCCCGACTCGAGTGAGTCTATGACTCGAGTCTCATCGGGCGGGGAGGTCCCACACAACCGTCATGACAGTCACCCGAACATCACGGATGGCACTTCCAAGTGCCGCAAGGAAGCTCTGACAGGTTTTTATCGGACGGCTATCAAGGCAATTGTCGAGAGTGGTAACGCAACCTGGCTCATCGGAACCGTTCACTGCAGATCCTTTCCGCAAGAAAAGACTGGCCGAATCAAAGGCTCCCAGCATTTTTCGGCGCGAAGGCTAAACGTCCGATTGGTTGCAGATATCGACGTTTAATTACCAACTGTCGTGCGGTACGTCCCAATTAGCCCGCAGGCAGGGAGGTTAGCTGCAGTCTGCAGTGTAGCTACCGTGTGATGGTTTGCTCGGGGGTTTACCGTAGTACTCGTTTGCATACTAGGCAATAAGCGTACGGTGATACGGTTGTCCGCCATTTTCAATATCATTGACTATGGAACTTGCAAGTCGCTAGTATGGCTAGGTTGCGATCGAACCTTGATTGAATTGTACGAACGGATTTTACGGTGGTGTCGGTTGGCTTAGGCTTGCCAGATATAAGTTGATAGAAGCAGACGTCATCAAACACAACAATTGTATGCCATGAGAAGCCAACGGCCGCACTCGCTGCGGCGTTACGGAACGACTGAGACCATCGCAAAAAGGCAACTCGAACAAGACGGGCCGGCCGTCCCAGCTTACCCCGCACAACGCCGGCATAATCTTTATTCAAGCCTGCCAATGGCAAGCGCGGTAAGCATGCTGCACCGTCCCGGAGTGCCATTTAACTCCATGAAATCCTTCAAACCGTTGGTTCCGGCCTAAAGATGCATGTGTGGAATCCTGCAGTTTGTGCTGCAAGATGTGCTAGATATGATCATGGTTCATTCTCGTCACTTCCAACATTTGTTGGATTTAAGCAAACCACTTGTATCGTTTATACATGCTTAGGCCCGCACCTTAGTGGCCCCCCATGGCGCAGACCCGGCGGCCAATCTAAAACGAGCATAGTTCGGAGTTCGCCGCTTCATCACGAATTGTTTCTTTTCTAGTCACTTATCGAGCGGTAATTGACAACCTCCTAACAACGGTGCAACGTACACATGGCTAACATGACATGCGCTCTACCGCATGCATTATATTGTAACTACTTAGCGTACAAAGGATCACTCAATTCAGCTTGACACTATTGATCTTTCGGCGCTGACTAGTACTGGGTGATCGCTAGACAAAAGATCTATCATTGCCTGTAATCCAACAAGGCCCATGGCTTTCAGTCGGAGATCATCAAGTGGCATATATAGCGCCATGGCGCTATATCTGCAGAGGCAGTCATGCATGCAAGAGAAAGGCATGCAGATAAGGCTCCATGCATATCCATGCAAGTGCCACTATCTGACCTTTTATAGGCCAACGCGCGGCGGCCGCCCGAATCGCAACGTTCTTCTTGACAGTGAAAGCGCTATGATTATCGGACCTCATTGCACATGTGCATGCATGTCAGCCTTCAACAGCGACGGTTTGGTCATGTTGCGCATACCGTACTTAATTATATTGGAGAAGAGTCGATCGAGATCGAATGTTTCATATGTTAGTATACTGTTCCCACGCCATGCAGTCATTGAGCATGCAAGACTACTCAGATCCTCGGTGTAAACTTAGTAGTACGCAGACGAGCATGCATGTAGCGTGGTCCGCAGTATATAACGTTTGCAAGAGCTAGTTTTATACTCAGTCAGCGGATCCATGTAGGTATTCCAACCTGGTTAAATTTCAGCGATTTATGAGACAAAGACTCCCCGGTGCCTGTATGGCTAACCTGAGGGCATGCCAATGTGCCTGCCTGGAGAACACTTTCGACCCTTACACTTCGAGTCCGCTCTAAGGCTTCTACCAACTATCTATCCCTCGCTTTGCCATGAACACCAAACCAATCGACCAATATGCTTCCAACAGTTCTTGGGTCGAACGTTTACATTCTCTCGCAGCTTTTAGACAGGTCGAACAACGTCGTGATCGATAGCAACAGCAAAATCGATTGGGCATCTCTTAAAAACATTCCAGAATCAGACGAAGGACTCGACATTTTCAATCTGGCTCAGAGCGCTTTCGATCTAGCTTCTTTAAGCTATGATTTGTACAATGCACTTAAAGAACTTGTCAGTCCAACGCCCGCTTTACCCGATGAGATAACCGATCCTTTAAAAGACCTGCTTGGAGACTCAAATGATACTTCATCTAACGCCATAAATGTAGCTTGGGATCGTGTATTTCGCCGTCCTCTTGCCGCTTCTAACTATTCTATTGGAGTTAAGTATGACCTGTACCTTTCTGACTTGTCTAAGGTGTATAAAATCCCTTCTGGTGGCTTTTCGACTAACAACGGATCACTTTACAAGACGACTTCTGGGTCTAATTTGCTGATTGACATGACGACAAAAACGCTTTACCCTCAAGCGATTAGTATGGGCAGCAATCAATTATCCACCTCGAGCGCCCAATTTGGTCCAGTAATCATGGGAAGTTCTGGAATTTCAACTTCTTGCAATGTTTCTCCGAACATCGCAAGTGCAATGATAGCACCAAGCATAACAATAAACAGCAATGTCTCAGCCCAATTCATCTCCGCCTGTAATATCACTAATCAGATTTATTCCTCTAACGGATCGAACGCAGGTGCTCCTCTTTCCTTAAGTAGTTCGTGCAATCTCAATCTGACCTCTTCCAATTACCTTCTTCGGATGACTACAAGCAATCTAAATATTAGTCAGAGCAACCTCACCTGGATTCAGCAGTCCTCGAATCCGAACCCATTTCAAACGCCGTATGCCACCACAGGCGTTTCTTTTAATAGTTCAAATATCGTGCTCAAGAATCTGCAAAGTAATCAGACGACGCTCTTCATTCAAGACCCTGCCTCCTTCAAAATGCTCTTTTCCACTTCCAATGGTTCGAATGTGACCAACAGTACAATCCTCTTTGATTCCAACCAAGGAGTCAGCGGGATATCAAATCTACTTCTTAACGGCGACGTCCTAAACCCTGCTCTCTATACTTCGTGCAATAGCCTCGTGGTAACCAGCAACATCTTCTCTGGGGGTTACATCCTCGCCAACGGAGATCTGGCTTGCTCCAACGTGGTTCGAACCGGTTGGATACAGCTAGGTAACTCACTGCCGATCAATAAGACGACATATGCTGAAGGACTGTATTCCAGGTCTGCAAAGCTCATCATTGATCAGGATGGTGATGGTGCATTCTCTAACATGAGTCTTGCCGGAACCTTATCTGTGTCGAATACATTCTCGTGCCAGTCGAACGTAGTGGTGGTAGGCTCTCTGACGGCTCCTGTTCTGACTGCTTTGAGCAACAGCATAAACGGGGTAAGCAATCAAGTAATCTCGCTATGTAACTCGTTGTCGAATTATACGCTTCTAACAGCCATATTTAGTCTATCCAACGACATTTATGCAAAGAACGCCAGCAATATTGCTAGCCTGACAGCTTATTCAAATGCGGTTACGCCTGTCGTAACATCTACCTCGAACACTCAGTACACCATTTCGAACTTCCTTTACCGCTACACCCCGAGCAATGACGCAAACATTACGAGCTTGTCAAATACTTGCATCTATAACTCCAACCTTAATGTCTATAATTCTAATCTGGGTATCTACAATTCCAATCTCAACATCTTCAACTCAAACAGCATAATAGCCGCATCCAATCAGAGCTACTCAAATTACTTCTATAGCTCCAACCTGGGGATCTACAATTCCAATCTCAACATCTTTAACTCAAACAGCATAATAGCCGCATCCAATCAGAGCTACTCAAATCATTTCTACAACTCCAATTTAGGCATTTACAACTCGAACCTGAACATCTTTAACTCAAACAGCATAATAGCCGCATCCAATCAAAGCTACTCAAATTTCTTCTACAGCTCCAACCTAGGGATCTATGATTCAAATCTTGCCAATTCCAATCTTGCACGAATAATCTGGACGAGCAATAATGCTGTATTTGGTTGTAACTGTGCGGTTTATAGTAGCAACTCACTCTCGTCACTAGCCACCACCGCGACTGTCGCCGTTCTCTCGAATACCTTCAGCAATTATCGTGCAAAGTCTGCAACCGTTCCTTGGACTGAGGTGTCTGGCAAGCCAGACTTTAGCTCAGACGGGGCTGGGAATGACTCGCTGGGAGCTGCTGGTGTTACGATCGGCTCCGCGGGTCTTCTTATGTCTGGATATAATTTGTTAGACAAGAACGGAAAGCTAACAAATGCACTGAGCGATGCTCTCGGAAAGATGACCATCGATCCGACGGGTTACTTCAAGTTGAATGACCCTGGTTCATACATAGATATTGGTGACTCTACTACGAGAGTGTCCAAAGATAGGCTACTATTTAAGACTGGAACTTTCAGTAATATGATTCTGAATCCTGCGAATCTGTCCTACTCCAATGGAATCTTTAGTTTGTGCAACCAGATCTCCCTAACGGCAACTTCCATCTCAAACTTGACCCACGTAAGCGTTTCTTCCAATCTGGTCGTAGGCGGGACGCTTTCTAACTCTGGCAACGTCTCATTATCTTCAAATCTTACCGTTGCTGGTGCAACCACAGTCACGGGGGGTCTCAGTATCACCAGTAATATGATCATTACTAGTGGGATTTCGTCGTCGCTTTACACTCCTAACCTCAATTCAAATTCTTATCATCTTCTAAATATTGGAGTTAATACATTATCAAATAACAATACGTCTTGGCTCGGGTTTAATTACTATAGTAATGCAAGTCCTAGTAATTACGGGGCAATCGGTATGTGGGGACAACCGCTCGGTTCTGGATCATTCAATTGTATGGGAAATGGTCGGTTTGGTGTCTGTACGACCACCCCTGCTGCTACTCTCGACGTCAATGGAAGTCTTAAAGTGTCCACTGATGCAACAATTTTGGGAACACTTACCGCTACCTTACCTTTCACAAGTATCACAAGTCTCCCCGTTCTTCTATCCAATACTAGCACTCTACCTTTTACAAGTATCACAAGTCTTCCTGTTCTTCTATCCAATACTAGCACTCTACCTTTTACCAGTATCACAAGTCTCCCCGTTCTTCTGTCTAATACCAGCACTCTACCTTTCACGAGCATAACCAGTCTTCCTATATTACTCTCAAACACCTCGACCTTACCTTTCACGAGCCTTACCTCAACGCCCTTCTTACTCTCAAACACAAGCCCTCAGGTTCTGTATGGTTCAAATACCTCTTACTGGGCAAGTAATCAACTGTCAACGCTTGCAACTACATCCTCTTATCAATACACGTCGAACCAAGCCACATGGGCGTCGAATGCTTTGCAATCCAATATCAATAACGCGAGTTTTTCATCGAACGTGGTCATTGGAGGAATTCTAAACGTACCTACTATCATTTCTACGACTCACTCCAACAATGGAAATTTCACCATGAAGAACTCTGCAGATGGAAGCATGTCGGGGGCTCATCTCTGGTATTACGCTCAAGCAGATAGCTACCCGCTCTTCCAGCAACTGAACTGGCAGCACGATAACATTAGCCATAATTTTGATGCATTCTATAACAGCGGATGGTTCGCAGGGTCTTGCAACGCTTCATATCAAATCTATAAGGTCAACGGCTCTCTCAACTTCAACTATGCGAAGACTTTACAGGGTTCAGCAATCGCGTGGTCTACAGCTATGTCAATCAACAGCAACGGCAACATAGGAATCAAAACGTCCACCCCTGGATACCCTCTCGAGATAAATGGGACATGTGTGGCGTCCACGTTTGCTGGTAGCTTGTCGTACGGGTATTTGACTAGCGTACCTGCAGTCATAAGTAATACTTCGCCAGCATTCACGTTCACTAGCAATGCGGCAACCTCCGCGTCCAACTCGGTAAACGGGGCAATCACTTGTACCAGCATTGCAAGTACTGGAAACTTCACAACTGGTGGAACGGCAACCATCTCTGGAGCGATATCCTGCTCAAATGTGCAGGTAGTTGGTCTAAGTAACCCAAGATGTCAAATTTTGTGGAATCCTGGTGCTGGGTCGTTCGGACAACTTTGTTTCGGGTATTCGAATACGGCGTATCCAACCTCTTCTAGTTGTAGACTGCTCGTCAATGATAATAACAACTTTAGTGGTGATTTTTACGTTCAACAGAGAGCACCAGGGAGCGATTCAGCAATTATGAACACACCCTTTAGTATCATAGCATCAACTGGTAATGTAGGAATCAACAATGCTGTTCCAGGTTCTAAATTAGACGTCTCGGGAAACATTAACTGTTCGTCTTTCACTACAAACGGCAGCCTTACAGCATGCAACAGTGTCTTATCAAATCTTACCGTCAACGGAATCGTCCAATCAACGTTGAACTTCCCTGCAACAGATCTTGGATTTTTCGCAAAGTCTCAATATGGCTCGTTGGACGTGTACGGATACGGACAGTTCGTGGGTGGTTGTACTCGCTCTGTGATTTCGGGATCGTACTCTTCTGCTACGTTCAAAGTATGTAAACCATTTAACACTGCTTTCACATCCTGGACTGATTTGTCGAGCGTCGATTACAATGGAAACACTGGAGCAACTGGTACTATAAGTGGGACGAATTTCAACTCCAATTCTGCAAGCATTACCAGTAATCAAATCAAGATCGGGTATAACGCCGTCTCAGCACCCTCAGGAACAGCTCTTGGGTCTGGAATGTACCACATCTCTTCAGCTGGATGGGCATCATTCTCTTCGCCAGCGACTTTTTACCCTGTATGCAATACGGGTCAGGACAACTGGGCTGGTGAAATTACCATAGTAGTAAAGAACACATCAGCAACGACCAACTTCAGTCAGTTGGGGGTAATGACGGCGACGTTGTCCAAGGCGTGGGGCGGTTTCATAACTCCTATAATGTCGACATCTAACTTGTACAATCTTGGTGTTTTCACACTTAGCGGAACGGGGGGTACTGGCGGAAATGCACTGCAGATGTCATGCAGTTTACCAACATCTAACTTGCAGTATTCCTGGGAAGTAAACGGTGCATACTAAATCGTAAAAAATCTCAACTTACCTTAATGATACCCTCAAAGGAAGAGTGTTGCGTCGAGTGTCAGGATCACAACCCTTTCTTTAAAGTCGGTGGAGGTGTAGTCGGAAAGTTCGCCTACACGAGAGAGACGCCCTTCATTTAGCCTTTTGAAAGCATCGAGAGCCCTTGGGCGGACTTTATCAAAGCCGACAGCATGGAGACGAACATCAAGAAACTCCTGAAGTTGGCGCAGAAGTATCGGAAGGAGACCGCGGAAGAGAAAAAGAAAGAGGAAGAAGCGGAGAATGCTGAGCAAGAGCAGGTGAAGGACAAGGAGAAGCCGAAAGAGAAATCTAAGGAGAAATCTGCAGATAAAGAAAAGGACAAGGAGAAGCAGGAGTTGTCACTTTCTAGAACTGCGTTCCTTGCCTTAAAAGATGAATGGAATTCGTTATTCAGAGAGGGTAACAAGAAAGACAAAAACGCGATCCTAGTTTTAGCATCCAAATTAGGTGTAACCAATCAGAAAGGAAGAGGGTATGCGATCGTTGATAAGAATCTTATGGGGCAACTCAATAAAATCTTCAAGACTTCGTACAACTAGGTCAACGCCTAAATAAATATCTACAATCAATTTATAAAACATGTCGTATCCCTCTGTCCTTAAATACTATCTTGAAAAGCTCGACAACGTTTCTAGGAATACTTTCCTCCTTTATCCCCAGACCCCCGTTCAGGCGAATGCTGGAGATACGATTTCCATCACCCTACCTGAGAACAGCATCGTGAATCTGGATGCATTCACGCTGTACGCTAACTTATTCATTGGAACTGGTACCCAACCTCCAAGGAACGTCGAGTCTCTAATCGATCAAGTGACGGTACTTGTCAATGGAATTCAAGTGGGTCCTGGTTCTCAGATGACCAACTTCCTTTCAACCGCTCTTATTGATTTCTATGGTTCTGACAAACAGACACAGAGAACCCTACTTCAGCTCGGCGCAGATGCTGCTACTCCTGTACAAGGTGCGGCAGGTTTTGGATTTATTGATGGAGCCAACAAGGGTGTGCCCATCGCTATCTCTCACTTCCTTGGATTCTTGTCTAGCGCCCAGCCTCGCTATCTGGACACGAGCATCCTAGGGAGCGTACGCCTACAGATCAAACTGGCAGGCACAAACGTTCTGCTGGCAGCAACCGGTGCTATAAAGAGCTGGGGTCTTAACACCATTCAAGCTCTTTGCCAGGTGATAAGCATTGACGACGGCTCTTACTCACAGATTGTCCAGCAAAGGCTGAGCAACGGTGGTGTGAAAATTCCGTTTAAGTATTACCAGACTTTCCAGGGAAATGTTGGAATTGCTGGGCAGAATCTGAGGATGAACGTGAGCTCTCAATCGGTGGACGGAGTATGGGCTACATTCCAACAAGCTGCGTCTGATGGCACTGCATATACTGCGAACGGGTACGACTCTCAGTTGAGGACAAGCACGTACTTCACCAGGTGCGCTACTAACATGGTTGACTCTGTTTTCAGCGTTAACGGTGTTAGATTCCCGTCTATTCCTCTAACACCTGCGCAGATCTGGAACGAAAACATGCACAACATGGGACTTTCCTGCGACATGGTTGGACAGATGGACAAATCTTTCATAAATACGGTCGTAACCGCTCCATCTCAGCTTACAACTGGTAATTATACTTACACCCCAGGTTCGGTTGTTCCTGTGCCTGGAATTGACAAGTTCCAGAGCAACGCTTTCTTCCACTACTTCAAGTTTAATGTCGACAACGACGAAGGAACGTCTAGGCTCAGCTCTGGGCTTGACACACGCGGGTCTGCATCACCATCACCTGGCAGACGACTGGTAACTCAGGCACACTCCTTCCAGTTTGCTTTGTTGAGTGCACAGGTATCATGGAGGTGGGTCCTAACAGACAGGTCTCGGTGGTTTGGTAGGCAGATTGATTTTTATTGTTACTCTATTGTATAAAGAATGGCAGTTGCGTTCAGAACACCTTTAGCTAACATGTTTCCCGAGAAGCTGAAGCCTAATGAGCAGCCTTATACGGCTCCAAAGGACAACCGTTCGTTATCGAAAGTGGTTCGCATGCCAGTGGAAGCGGACTACGACGAGCTTGCACAGCCTGAGGACAAGCTGGCTTGGAACCTTCCATGCAAAGCCGACTTGTACGGCAATTCTCTTACCATGATAGATCACAAGAAGATTACTCCACCTGCAAACAAGATAGGCTACAAGGAGCTTCCTAACCTGAGCCTTCCCGACCTGACGCAGACCAACGTAAGTGGATTTACCTGCTTAACGGGTACGACTGCTGCTCAGCGTGGTGAGAAGCTGATTGTCAACGTTTCGCCCGTGGAGAAGCGCTGGAATACCCAGATCTAATTCTATATATTCACCCTTCAGAAGCTGCGATGTACGTTTCCTGCAAGAGAGAACAGTTAATACAGTCAATTCTTTTTCTTTACGTTCAGTAAATGTCTGACACTTCTATAGAGCCAATCGAAGAGGTTGCGGAAACCGTCGAGGAAACCGTGGAAACTCCCGCCGCACCTTCAAGCGGTAAGCAAAAGAAGCCTTGCAGCCCCGAAAAACTGAAGCAAATGGCTCTTATGCGGGAGAAAGCGGCACTCAAAAAGCAAGCAATGAAGGAACTTACGGAGAAAGAAAAAACACTCAAGCAAAAAACTTTTGAAGAACGAGTCAAGAAGGTGCAAGCGCTAGAAAAGTCCTTCAAACCTGAGCCAAAAGCAGTCGAGCCAGAGCCTGAGGAAGAGCCAGAAGAGGAGATCGTGGAGGTGGTCAAGGTCAAGAAGGCAAAAAAGCCCGCCAAGAAGGTGAAGAAGGTGGTCTACGAGTCTGATTCAGATGCGTCCGCCTCCTCCGAGAGTGATGACGACCACTACCAGCGCAAGCAAAAAAGAAGGTTTAAGAAGAGCGTGAGGAAGGAGGTTGCGAAGGAGGTTGCAAAGCTAACGGCTGCAAGACCAACCCAACGAGACATGATGCATGTCGCTGCTCGAGATGAACTTAACTCAAAGGTTTCGAAGGCGGTTCGCGAGCTAGCGATGCGCTCGGTGTTTCCTGAATAGTTTCGAGAAGGATCTGGTTATCCCAGCATTGTCTAAACATCCTGTTTCGATCCTTTGAATCGTAATCCACAAACAGAAAGTCGTGAGGCTTCTGACAGGCTTGCGTCCATGCTTCTAACACCTCTTCGGGGGTTGCTTTAGACGCCAGCTCTTCGGCGATCGACTCCTTGAGCTTATCACTTTTCGTATCAAAAAGTATCCAACAGGACACGTTTCCACGGACACCTTTGGGTATACCGTTCGTTAAAACCTGACTTGCCATAACCACCGTGCAAGAGTGATGGCGATGCAGCAAGATATAGTTGACAAAAGCCCCGCGCATAGTCGGGCTAAACATTTTCTTGTCTGCAACACAATCGTCCACCACCACACAGAAGGAAGGAAAGCCCCACTTATAGATCGTCTTCGGTGCTTCAAAGTCCAGACCGTAGAGCAATGCGATGTCATCATTGCTTAGCGAATCTATGTTCTTGCACTTTAAGAATCGCTTCCAGGCTTCCAATTCCTTTAAGCACTTTTTATATTTATCGACCTCGTGAACCATGTAAGCCATGATGTCTTTAAAGCCATCCTCTGTGTACCCTGGAATCACTTCGATCGTAAAGTTTCGAGGCTCCTCTGTCAAGCAAGCAGTCTTAGGGTCTCGCGTAAAAGTTGGAGAGATGACGACCACCTTGTCATACGACTTGGCTGCGTCATACATAAGAAGCCACTCGCAGATTCTTGTTGTCTTCCCCTGACCCCGGCTGCCAACGAGTGCCACCAGCGGGTGCAGGGAAGGCATGTACTCAGGCACTTTACGGTCACCATAGGGCAGCTTGTTGTTCTTGATGTCAACCTTAGAGATTGGAAGGCGTTCTGTCTTCATGATTTATTATATTAGAACATATAAAATGATCTCAGACAAAGTTAGGGAAGAATGGATTAGCGGCATGTGCCGGGATCACCCTAAACTTCCTAGGTTTATGGTTGAGCATCTTGCCGATGCCTACGCTGTAGATGATGGTGACTGGTGTCGAGAGAATAAGAAGAAAGAAGAGAAGTTTATACGAAAGCAGGCAAAAAAAGGGAAGGGCAAACTCACCGAGGCGGCAGCAGAGCAAGACCCGGAAAAATTCAAGATTATGGGTGCGATCGAGGTGGAGGCAGCACCTGAGGAGGATGTAACTGATGGCTTCGAAAAGGTGACGATCGAGGAGATCACTGAAGATTAAAATGTCACTTTAGGTTTCCTTCTTTTTCTGCTCTCAATGAGCTCGACTTCAGCCTAGTGACGGTATAAACCTGCAAACGCTACTGGTACATTTCCAAACGCGGAAAAGCTGGCCAACTAGGCTGATAGTCGAGCATCATTAGCTCCCTACAGGGAACCCATGTTCTCTATAACCCATCCTATTAGGTGAGGAAAGGTTCGGAAAACGTAGTTTTCTGAAGAAGATTAAAATGTGATATTAACTTAAAATGGATGTCAACTTTGCTGCAGGCCGATCTGGTCTTCATCAGCCTTCTCCCTACCCTTTCCAAAATATTAGCCAGAGCAAATCGTACGACCGAATGTATAAGATTGTGTTGCACTCAGAAGATGCATCTTATGACAATCATACTACCTTTACATTCCGGAATGTTTCTATTCCTTTTGATACGATCAAAGGCAATTGCCGTGTGTTTGTATCATCTTTTCACTTCATTTCTACATCTGAACCATCCTATCCTTATTACATCAATATCGAAGAGCTCTCACAACCGCTGTCGTTTGACAGCCAAACTGGAACAACAACCAAAACCATATTGACATCATATGCTAATATCTACGAGAATGGGAATCCCCTCTATGGTGTTTCAGTTCAGGATCTCAGCCTTTTTGTCCAAAGAACCTTGACAGTAACTTTCCGGAGTGCAAACAATGATGATGACGTCGATTTAATCACCTATACAGGTCCAAACGGTGATGCAGACCCAACAATACACCCTTGGACCATGACCCTCGGGATCATCCAGACCGAATGAAAATCTCCCCTAAGACTAAATGAGTGACCTAAACGTGCTTATCAACAGTCAATACTTATTTTTGAGATCAGCACAAACCAACTCCTATGATTCTGTATTTGAATTTGATACAGACGTCCTGACAGCCATGCCTGAGCATCAGATGAGTCTGACGGTCGTGGACTTCACAATGCAAGTCCAATATTACGTGCTCAACAGCTTAAACAATCAGCTCACCTTCACAGATTTGTCCAATAACTCAAGCACAACCGTTACAGTCCCCCCAGGTAACTATGGTTATAAAGCACTCTGCCTGGCTGTGAGCCGGCTGTACAATGGTCTGACTTGCACTTATGATAACCATGCTAATCTGGCTGTCTTTACTTTCACAACCCCTCATGCAATCTCATTTATCAACAATAGCTATCAGACCTTTGGCTTTAATAGCACAGACATACCCTCTGGAACTACCATTGTCAGCCCAAATCAGCTTGATATTAAAGGAGGAGTCAACCAGCTCGTCTTGCATGCAGCAGGAGTCTCCACCACAGCTTGCTGGAACGTGGATAACTTTAGCTCCGCTACAGACCTGAAATGCAAGCCCTTAGATGTGCTTGCTGTGATTCCCTTCGACACAGCTCCATTCACCATCCTATCTGGCAGAACCCTGGCAACCAATTTGAGATGTTTCTGAATGAGAAGAACATTTCCAGGCTACAGATCACGATCAAAGACATTTACGGCAATGACCTGACCTATTTGAACCCTTATACCGTCACCTTTTTGGTGCGGATATACAAAAAGAATGTCCAAGATGGGCAGAATCGAACCTTGGGAGTCCTGAGTGAGATACTTGACTACACCAAGCTCTCCTTGATCAGATCAGTCGCTGATTTAAATTCTTTAGATACTTTATAAAAACATGGGATTATTCGGAAGAATCGGCTCATCAGTCCTCAAAGGTATCCACTCAGCAGGCAAGATCATCCGTCGCATCGGTGACGTGTCAAGCAATGTCGCTAAAACCCTGCATGGGTCGGCGCCACTTGTGCACGGTCTCGCGTCCGCGGTCGGGTCGCACTTTGGACCCGCAGGTGAGCACGTCGCGGCAAAATTCAACAAAGGGTTTGATCGAGGTGTAGCGATCGGACAATTAGTCGGAAATCGGGCGTCCGTAGCAGGCAGTTTACTAAGTCCGTAGTTTCAACCAATCAATCATTTTTCTGAAATCTAACAATCTGTTAAGTTCTGGGGAGGGTAGTAAAGTGGGGAGGGCACTTTTCGTGGGGAGGGCACTTTTCAACCTTTTGAGGGTCCTAAATTCGCAAATCTTTGCTCCCCAACACTGAAAATCTTTAATTTTGTTTTTTAAGTTTTGTAATACTGGTTACAGTCTATGTTTTAATCATTTATTCTTATTATTTATCTATTTTTTGAGAATGGGGAGGGAGAAGTGGGGAGTGGGGAGGGCGGGGAGGGCATATTTATAAAAAATATTTTGGAAGGGGGGTGTTAAAAAAATAGTTTATAAATATGCCCTCCCCGCCCTCCCCACTCGAAATGTGCCTCCCCGGGTCTCCCCAAATTGGTTAGAAGTTATCGTGATTGATTTCAGACTGAGTCCAGTCTAAAAGAAAAAATGAATAATGCTTAATCGAGGGGGTCTACCTCGTCATCGTCATCGTCGTTAAAATTGACAGACTCCTCCCTCAACACAATTCCATAATATACCACATTCTTATGATAAGGTCCCCGCTTGGTGATTTTCTCTGCCACGTGTCCATTTACATTCATGGCCTCCTTAAACTGCTGTTGATTCTTGCCGTTACAGAAATGACTAGCCTTGTATGCCTGGTACAGATCGCCCGCCTTGATGATGTCCTTTTTATTGTTAGTGATGTCACAGAATTCAGATAAGAAACCGCCGACCACGTTGTTCGAATCGATGTACTCATTGGTGAAATCGATAACCGACTGAGGGGTTGGAACTTTGCCCTTGGACTTGACTTCTACGTGGCTCTCAATCAGCATACGCATGAATTCTTGTCGGTATAGGTCGTTGTCCATGATTTTGTCTTTTAGGGTTTCGTCGATTAGGCGTTCGTGTGGATTGGTTGGGTTAGACACAAACTGAGACTTATATTCGACCAGCCTGAGTCGTCTGCGAGCACCCTCATCATAACTGTCGAGAGAAGACTTGTTGTTCATCTGGCAAACTAACACCATTTGCGCAATAAATTCCACAAAATTCTTATATAAGTGCCTGGCTTGAATCTTGTCCCGACCGGATTTCTTCTTGAGTTCCGC